CTGAGTGCTTGGCAAGGGGCACGGTGACATTTGCTAATCAGAGCCTGTCCTGTTTGTCTTGGCGGAAGGTCTCAAGTCCTCGGTGCTGAGGTTGTCCCCAGGGCTCCCCACGAGCCCCGGGGACGTCCCGGTGCTGGCGGCGCGGGGACCAGCCGCGTCTCGAGCCCCTGGGGGCGGCCGCCCCGCGTCGTCCCTCCCCGTCCCTGCGCTTGGCGGGCCCCCCCACGAGCCCCGGGGACGGCGCGGTGCTGGCGGCGCGGGGACCAGCCGCGTCTCGAGCTCATGGGGGCGGCCGCCCCGCGTCGTCCCTCCCTGTCCTTGCGCTTGGGGTTGGACGGGGGTTTTCCCGGGTGCGCCCGGCGCTTTCCCGCTGCTCGCAGGAGAGGGCGGCTCTTTGTTGCCGCGCGGCCCTCGGAGGTCCCTCCTCTGCATCACCTAGGAGCAACCTGTGCCGATCCTCCGCCACAAAGCGCGGTTTGTTCTCGAGATTTGGCAACCAGGGAAAATTCCTCTGTAAAGGCAGACAAGACACGAGGCACGAGCAAGCGCGGAGGCAGGTAGCCAGAAAACTTGGGCCCTGCGTCCCTGCTGATTTGCACCAGTTTTCATGCAGGATTGGACCACCTCTTTGTTCAGACCTCTGCAGGAAAATGACAGTTTTACCTTTCGCGCGAGTCAGGGTTTTTGGTTTCATTTCAGATTTTGCAGATGGATTGTTGTGGAAGTTGTGGATAAACAAATAAACCCTTTCCTGCCTGCGCATTTACTCTCTGCAATCTGGAGAGCTGTTAGCAGCAGAGCTGATTAGCTCTTTACTGCCGCGGCAGCAGCATTTGTCAATATAATGAGTAATGGCTTTCCGTGTCTCTGGCTAATAGTAACAATGAAAAATGCATCATGTGCTTTTCCTGTAGGATTGTCCACGGGCACCAGGGAGTGGGAATGTTACAGAAACATTAGCTAAAGGCAGATAGGGACAGGCCAGAAGTTCCCAGGAATGCTGGTGTGTGCCGGGGCCATGTGAGCAGCGCGGGCTGGCAGAGTCCAGAGGAGGTTGGGGGCAGATGACAGACTGGAACCTGCCTCTGTTATCACTGGGAATCTTGATTTTTAGGAAGTAATTCCGAACGTGCAGCAGATTGGCAGGAGAAGGGAAAGACTGCTCCGCGCTCCTGGGCTCCGTCCAAAAAAGCACTTAAATCCGTGCGCGCTTCCACTGCGGATACTTTCTGCAGGGCTGCTCCCTGCTTAAAGATCTGCTTTTAT